CGGCACTTTCCCCCAGCCTGGCAGGAAGCGGCTGGGGTATTAACAGTCAATTCTGCTGCACCAGACCACGCTGCCTCCAGCACAAACCTGCCTGCATCCCTCCCACGTTTTACAGAGCAGCCTGCTCCTCAGTTCCGAAGGCATTTCGGCACTTCGACAGGCCCAGCAGTGTGCCAAGACCTTCCTAGCAGCTTCACGATCCATTTCAGCTGGGAATCTCGCACTTGCCAATATATCTGCCATTAGATATTATAGAACTAAAAAAAGGGGCACCAATTCTTAGTAAAGAAAAAGCAGTACTTTCCAGATGCTATACTGAAAAACTACAGTTGCATTAGTGCTTTCAGAAAAACACTAAACCTCATCCAACCACATATGGCCAGCAACTACTGTTCTTAGAGCAGCTGCAAGAGTCTTAAGTATGAAAACAATCCTTTAAAATGCAGTTGTAAGCTACTACAGAAAGAGACCAACTGTAAATAAGAACAGTATTAGTAAACATCTTTATAGCCTTAAATCTGCATGGTTTATAGCACAGCACTCGCTAGCTATTTGTGTCATTTATGTTCCCAAAGTTCACAGAGCCATTGAACTCCTCTGTTACAGCCCACTGAGGAGCAGAAAGAGAAACAGCAACTTTATCAAGCCACTGGCAGACATTCTCCGAGGCCAATAGCTTTTTGGAATCTCTTAGAACCTAGGCATTACAGGGACTAGAAGAATTCTGCAGCTTTGATCTTCAACTTTTCAGGCAGGAAGTCAGCTGGGAAAATTCATTGTGGTAAAGAAATGGCAGAGGAAGATTGGGCGCAAAGTTTCCAGCAGATACTGCTTCCTGGTGATCAAGGCGGGTAACAACAGAGGTAACACAGCAGGAGATGGGCTGTGTCCCGTTCTGGTGACTTACGTCAATGAAAGAGAAATCGGTGGTCTTCGCATCAGGGTAGGTGTCTCCCGGAGGAGGCAAATCGGTCCCATCAGTAGAGTCCATGTCAGTGCTGGAACGGTCCAAACTCGTGCTCCTTTGGTCTTTTGAGAAGTCATGGTGATCCACCAGGGAGGCAGGTTCCGTCTGAGAGGACAGCGAAGACGGGTGGCTATTGGGAGGTTGCTTTCTTGTTGAAATGACGCCATTTTCCGAGGAAGGAGATTCAGGCGCAAAACTGCAAATTGAAATGAAATCTGTGAGACTGCAGGGTAAACAAACACATGCAAGTATAGTTTGGATCACGCACACTCAGCAGATGATAAATAAAGGCAGAACTGAAGCTACAGGTACAGTAACCACGGCGTCTGCGGAGGCAGCAGGTACCAGCCGCAAGGCTGAATCGCTTCCATTATCACAGCTTTTCACCCACTTGGATTTACAGCGTATTGAATAATACAAATATGCAGATAAACTGTAATGACTTGATTGTAATGTGCTTTTATTGCTTGGGGTTTCTTCTCCCCAACATGAAGGCCCCTTGCCAAGCTCTTTTCAGTGGCGCCCAGCGACAGGACAAGGGGCAATGGGCACAAACTGAAGCAGAGGAAGCTCCAGCTGAACCCGAGGAAGAACTTCTTCCCTCTGAGGGTGACGGAGCCCTGGCCCAGGCTGCCCAGGGAGGCTGTGGAGTCTCCTTCTCTGGAGATATTCCAGCCCCGCCTGGACGCGGTGCTGTGCAGCCTGCGCTGGGTGACCCTGCTTGGGCAGGGGGTTGGGCTGGGTGACCCCAGAGGTCCCTTCCAATCCCTACTATTCTGTGATTCTGTGAAATGAGACGATGGAAACAGCAAGCTGCTTAAAACCTGCTTAACTTTGCCCACTTGATATACAACATCAGTAGACCTCACACTTTGGCACTGTATACACTTCAAAACCTTGCGAAGGGTTTGCAGGCCACAGCCAAAGAGTAACTGTTGAAAGATTCTTCTCCTTGCTCATCCAAAATTACCTTAGATACATATAAATGCTTATAAATAGAAAACAACAAATACTTGTTTACTGCAAGTGAATTCCTGCAGGACACCACAAGCTTCCCGCAGCCCTGCTCAGAGCACACCTCACCAACACTTCTGTTGTTCATGTTCCCATCTTCTCCCTAGGAGGGCGCTTTTTTATATATA